AGAGTGGGCGTTTGTGCAGGTGATTGTCTTATACAGGTGGTCGTTAGAGCAGGATCAACTGTACATGAAAGTACATGGTACGTACATTTTTTAGACTCTTTTTGAAGGCAAAGCAGGGCACTGGCTATATTAAGGTTGACACGTACTGTTTTAGATACATAGGCAGTGGACTGTTGTGTATCGTTTTTAGTCATCGGGGGGTGTTTGGTGTACGCTTTGTAAAGGTAAACTTGAACTCTCCATTGACTTACTTGACATACATGTACTTACCACACTCATCCGGAGTTGCAAATCTCATTGGGCTCACTTTTGGGTCGCCATGATTACATGGACTAATTATTACTATTTACGCTGTTCACTCACTTAAAAAAGGGATGGGGGTCAAAATGTATTTGACTGTGTTTTGTATAGCATTCCGTTGTCGGGTAGTGTTTGTTGAGTTCCTTGCTACTGTCTGAAGCTTTCTACTTTTTGAGAATGTGACAGAACTGAGGGTTGAATTTCATCTCCTAAATGATCGAAATCGTGTCGATATTGGTGTAGAAGTAATAATATACATTTTAAGAAAAAACTGTAATGCTGGTTTAGTTTCATATGGGTGTTGTGATGTTGATTTGTCGGGATCTATATTTTCACTGTCTCCCTGCCTGCCTGCCTGCCTGTCAGTCTGTCTGTCAGTCTGTCTGTCTGTCTGTCTGTCTGTCTGTCTGTCTGTCTGTCTGTCTGTCTGTCTGTCTGTCTGTCTGTCTGTACATGATACATTCACACACAATCACAAATACACGTTCCTACAAACCCAACACCGTAACCCCAAGTCCTCACATCATAATAATAATGGAGATCGACTTTTATTTCCTTACCCTATTCTTATAATCTCCCCAGTCTCTCTCATCCCTAACAAAATCTCTCATAATATTATATTTTAGAAACGTTATTATCTTTTGATCCCCAGAAGAGCCATGGATCGCTGTGACCCAGGAGGAAAGGACACTATATGAGATTCTTTTCTACAGCCAAGGGCCCGTCGACGGATATATTTTAGGTGGGTCATTTATCTGTCCTTCCTGATCTTTGACCTTTGGGGTTTTATCTCCTCTTATGGGAGACATGAATGTTTAGTTATGGGGGCACAATGTTTTCAGTAATATTCCCCAGACGTTCACGTAAGAAATCTTGTTTGCGTTTCATGCACCACTTCAAGATCTTTTCGGTTGTTCGTTTTGGAAGTGTGGTCTCCGAATTGGTGCTCAGGTACAGGAGGAGATCGAGGACTTTACTAAATATTTGGAATATATTATATAGAATGCTTGGGTACGAAACCTTGACGAGCGTTAATATTTCCCTTGTAAAAACAACTCTTCGTCAAATTTAATAACATTACAGATTGGGGTAATTTCAGTGGGTTTATTTGCAGACATGTCTTTTGGTACCTGCGACAATATTCCACTTACTAGTAGGCAACCTAGTAAGAAAATGGTAGCAACCATACGGTATCATTGTTGCAGATGGTACTTTTCCAGTCCTGATACTAGATGATAAAATTGTTGCAATGTTTCACGCAACCACAGGCGTCACCCTTCAACGCATGAACACAGACCCCGTTTTTCCATCCCCGCACGGTGTCCAACTTTCAAGAACAAAGCAAAACAAAACAGAAACAATGAAAGTGAAGAGTAGAAATCAAAGAACTGGGAGGAGCAGACGACAGCCATAATCCTTCCGATTGTGCATAAACTATCATGTATATTCAACAACATTTAAAAGTAAGATCAGGAAACTCTCAAAACAAACATAAAAACAACAATCACGAGCCGTCAGTCGTCCCGAAAAGAAAGTTCGTGCACTGCGATAATGAATGCACTAGAGGCCGTGTATGGAAAACGTGCCGTTTCTCTTGAGCTAGCGTGCATGAATTCGCCACAGCCCAACGAAATGAACCAAAAAAACCTGATCTTCAAGAGTATGGATGGCCAGTGATAATTTATATTATTCCGTTATAACATACTCTTTTGCCGTAATAAGTTATCAACCCCCGTTACCTCTTTCCTATTTTTGAGAAAATTGGAAAACTTTCTTTTGCATATGACGTCACGGCGACCCAAAAGTGACCAAACAGAGCGAAAATCACTAATGTGCTTACTAGGTCAAGTGAATTTCAAATGGATGGTTTTAGTATGCTATTCATAATCTATTTTCTCATGAAGCAGATGCCTGGCTACTTGAAATAATATTGCTAACAACCAGTTTCCCTTCCTGGGCGCCACCTTTTAGGAGTGCACATTTCCGAATCAGCGTCCGTGCATGCACTCGAAGAACAAGAGTTCGATTCCCACGTAGACAAGCTATTTTTTCGAGTATTTCCTTCTTTCTGACGGGTTATCGTATACCATACAACCGGGTTGACCATGACAGGCAATGCTGAAGCAGCGATTTCCATACGGATGTATATTTTGTCGACGGGAGCGTTAAACATAAAAAAACAGGACTGCTTTTATGGTCCCACGTTTCTTCATGGTTGGCAAAAATGAGCAAATTTGAAGTCCATGTCCAAAAGGACCCTGCTTGATCTCGTCATTTCCGTTAAATAATTCAACACTTGATATTGTATTCTACAACTGACCTACTCTACATATTCTCTAGCA